TAAGTCGCCGGGGGGTCTGAAAAGTCGCTAAATCTAGCGACAAAGTCGCTAAATTGGCAACACTGCATGTGCGTGCCCTTCTTACTAAACTTGCTCTGTCAATGAACTGTTAAAATAATGACGTAAATGTATTTAGACTACGCTACAGTTAAACATGAACAGGAATGTTTTACACGATATAACAAATATATCACTTACAACAAATAACGATTATTTAATATGAAAAAGTAAAATAGGTTCAAGCTAAAACAAGATAGTTCATAGTGTTCATAGACATGGCTGTCAGATTTGGTAAAAATCGTTTTGAGAACTTTTGCTCAATTAATTGCCAACATGATTAAAAAAAGTTAGATTTGAGAGAAAGAAAAAAAAGCTGCAGCATCATTTGTTAGCAGATGCAATATGGTTTGATATTTTGTATCTAATGGAATAAAATAACCTACCTATGAAATTCATTCAGTTCATATTAGTTATTCGAAGTGTATTAATGTGTTATTGACCACTGTAAGCTTAATTATGTAGGCTAATTTTACTATTATATATTTTTTTACATTTACATTTAGACATTTAGCAGACACTTTTATCCAAAGCGACTTACAAATGAGGACAATGGAAGCAATCAAAATCAACAAAAGAGCAATGATATGAAAATTTTGCATTTAAAAATGATGCAAACGATGAAAATCTGTATATGCATGTATATGCATATGATAAGTTATTATATCATAATGCATTTGCTACTGAAAAGTTAATAACATTATAATTTTTCATGTTAAAAACCAAATCCCACAGAATAAACACAGAAGCTGGTTTTAGACAATAGATTTATTTATTCAAATGTACAAAATCACTTATAAACGTTCCAGGCTTTTTCATCAAGGCAGCACAGAATTCTTCATTCTTAGCCCCTCAAAAACCAGCGTGGTCTGTTCACCCTCAGCTGAGATCATCTGAAACCCAGACCTCTCCACAATCAGAACAATAATAATATACTGTGACTAAGGTACTTTGAATATAATGAAACATTATGACAGCTCGGTACAGTATGTATTTACAATACAATCCTCTTCCTCTAATCCTCTAAAAGATCTTCAGCAAATGTCCTTGACAGCATCAATGCGAGATACTCAAACCATCTGAAGGACATCAGAAAACACATTCCACCGCTAAATGTTTTTAAAATGACTGACCTCTCAGAATAAGGGCATCACAGAAGGCACTAATTGCAACATGAATTGCTGCTGGTGTATTTTTTCGAGTTCAGAACATAAAAAACAGCAATCATAGAATCAAGTGTTTAAAGTTGAACATTTACATTTGGACAATATAATATGTCATATAAGACAATGTATGTTTAAAGGAATAGTTAATCCAAAAATGTCATCCAAGGTCAACCAAGATGTAGATTAATTTGTTTCCTCATCAGAACAGATTTGGATCAATTTAGCATTACATCAGTGGATCCCCTGCAGTGAATGGGTGCCGTCAGAATGAAAGTCCAAAACTTATTAACTATGCATTTGTTTATTACAAATATTAAACACGGCAGCTTTTCTCTGCACTGTAATCGTGTGAATTACTTCTGGATTATTGTGATATTTTTATCAGCTGTTTGAACTCTCATTCTGACGGCACCCATTCGCTGCAGAGGATACATTGTGAGCAAGTGATGTAATGCTAAATTTCTCTAAATCTGTTCATATTAAGAATCAAATTCAAATGGCCTGAGGGTGAGTAAATTCAGCAAATTTTCATTTTTGGGTGAACTATTGCTTTAACTTTTTTGTTACATTGTGTTTATTTTCATAATGATAAGGAAAATGTCTGCACATCAGCAAAGAATAGTTTGAGTCAACAAAAGAAAGAAACTCACCAAATAGGTTACAAATCAAGACACCGAACAGTTCTGAAGTGACCAAATTCATAATTCAAGCATCTCGCTCTTTGGTTGTATTCGACTGAGTGAACAGTACAAGAATGCTAACACACCAGCCGTAGTAGTCTTCTCTGAAATATTGCTTTGACACTAGGGTAATTTTTATAATAATACAAAAAGTTTGGTACTGTCATTCCAAACGTGAATTTAAAAAAATGTATAAAAATATCTCAGCTGATTATCCTATGTGCTCTATGCATGAGTTCAAGAGTGCAATGGGAACGTATTTACAGTGATTATCTCTGGGTAAAGAGTGCTTTAACTAAAACGTTACACAATATAAAAAAAGATGTGTTTATACAGTCTTCATTAGCTAAAAAGACATGGGAAAATGACACATTTCTCTGTCTCATACCACTTTGGTGGTTGCATATGTCTTACTCTGTGTCATTCTTATTTAGTTAGATTCTAACCATCAACCACCGTAATCTTAACAAAAAATTACTCAAATGAGTATTGTACAGTACATATATCATTATAATTGCTCCATGAGGTCTTTTCTATGTACTTCCAATAACACTCAGGATTGGACCCAGGGATACAGAGGTACATGAGCCATAATCAATATCAACTCTCTTTTATGACCAAATGTATTCTGTTAAACAAAAGACTACCTTAATACATTTGTGCCAAACACAGACCGTATGTGATTTGTCCAGAAACCCCTGTAGTATCGCATTAGAGCGCTTGGGCTGGTTTCAAGTGCATCAGGGGATCAGATAAAGCCAACCGGCAGTAATGCATGTAAACTAAGCTATTGTAATCAGCATTGTTTGGGCAGTGACACTTTATGTGCCATTCTGTGCCAGTATAGTAAGTGTTGGCACTTTGACTGCATTGTATCAATCCCTAGCCAAAGGCTCTGTCCCAAATGGCAATGACAAATAGGAGTGTCCATTATAAAGAAAAGGAAAAAATCTTTTCAAATGTACTTTATGAAACTGTGGACGTTTTTAGTAATGCATTTTATGGTTTAAAATAAAACCTTTATACCATTTTTAAAAATGCCTATAAAAATGTCATGTGGTGTAACCATCAAGTAAAAAATAATAATATCCTTACATGTTAAATACACATTGAGCGTACACATCTTTATAATTTTTTATATTTGCGATTAATGTGAACTCATTTTTTGTGCTGTGATTTTTACAAGGTTTTCTTAGAAATACCATAAATTATTAAATCAGAAATATTAAGGTTTTCGGGAGTCACACCACATAACATTTTGAAACTATTTATTATTTTTAACCATTAATAATTCTATACTATGCCAAACTACTTAAGTTGTTGTTTTCCCAACATTTAATTATTTTAATGAGGCTTAATTATAAGAACAGTTGTACTGAATTCATTTACATTTATCTTTGGATAAATTAATAGATTTGGGTTGTCACCAACCACTCTCAGCTCTCACTGCCCTTTAAAAGTTTATACAGTTTGTCACAAGAATGTTGGGTAATAGTGTGCCCAATAAGTTTGTCATATTTTCTTTTTTTTTTTTTTAATATTTAATATGTATTTATAGTGCTATGATTTGTGTTATATTACCTTGACAGTAAATTACAAAATAATAGTTAACACTGCTGACATTTGACATCATTCTCTCTTCTGACTGCTATAATTAATCTCTCCATTTTATTTTTCCTCTTTTGGAAAGTTGTGGAAATGCTATCATGGATTTTTTTCCTTTTGGAGCTAATGGGAATGCCAAATTATATTTGCTGTAGAAGTTTACCTAACTTCTGCTCCTGAGAGCCCTGAAAATGTAAAAAGGCTCTATTTAGCAAAAGGGGTGTAGCTCATGAAATGACGTTCATGAAATGAAGTGCATCATTTGGGACAGGGCTCTGACTCTGATTAACAATACGGGAAGCGCTATCAGCGTTTTGCTGTCCATGATATTTGTCGAGCTGCGTTAGGGAGATACACACCCCCTCGTTGTGGTCACGTTTGTTTTTAGTTGGCTGGTTGGTGGGTTTCTCCAGACCCTGGAAGGCAGAGTGATGATTGTCTGCGTCGGGCAGGTGTGTGGTTTTCCCTGGGGATTCCAGAGAGATCTGTAGGATCAGAAGCTGCCCTGGACAAAAGGGTGGCTGAGAAGCCTCTCGGCAGTGGGCCGCCATTTCTCTTCCACAAAGATCTGCCACAGGAAGTCCCTGCATGCGTCGGACACACCCTCGGGCAGGTTTGGCTTAGTCGGCTGGGTTGCGATCTTGAAAATGGCTGCCATTGCTTCATATTCAGCCCACGGGGGCTTCTGGGTTAGCATCTCTACAACCGTGCAGGCAACACTCCTGAGGAGAGAGAGAGAGAGACGTAAGGGACATTGAAACTCAATGAAATCGTATCTCAATGATACTAAAATAACACTGATTTGCATAAAATGCAATAGATCTCACCAAATATCTGCTTTGCGTCCGTAGCCTTCTCCATTAATGACTTCCGGGCTCATCCAGTAGGGGGTGCCGGTGACCGATTTGATTCCCGTCCCGGACATGCAGATGGTCTGAATGCGCTTGCTAGCCCCAAAATCTCCCAGCTTCACATTTCCAGAGGAGTCCCTCAAAATGTTAGCGCCTGCGAGGAAACACGTGTAGATTGTAGAGTTAAGAGTTACACCAGTCGAGATGTTTGTATGCATCAACTGCATCAAATTATAAGCTGCCTATGGCTGATGGCGTTTGAAGCTTCAGACTAACTCTTTCCTCCCACGCTTCTAGTCGGAATGATTTTCCGTTGCTTTAGCCGTGTTGCCTGTGAGATTTGTGCTTGTTTGAGTAGTGACTAATTCCCGCCAGCCACAAGATTTCCACACCCTGGAAGTCTGGCTGTACTGTGAATGGAAAATTAAGACCGAACACGAGAGGAAGGACAGAGACTCCTTCCTTTGCAGCACGCACTTATTGTGGATATTTCCAATAGAGGATCTTCGGTTTGTTATGGGAATGACAGAGACTGTATTGGTCATGTGTGCAAAAAGTATGTGGCCTTAAAAGTGTTTGAACACACTTCAAATGTCTGAAATATGTAAATGTATCAGATGAAGTTTTGCAAATGTGTGTTGCTGGAACATTACTTGAACATTTCTAAAAAAAAAAATTACAATTACTTTAAATTCTTGTTCTACCAATTAAATTTTTTTTTTTCATTTTGAACACTACATAATCTATAATCATCACTGTAAAAAAAATTATAAATTCTACAAAAATAAAAAAATACATATTGTAAAAACAAATCCACAATAAATTGTTTAACACTGCATTATACGTAATTTTACAGTAAAACTGTAAAATTTTGTAAACACTATGAAATATCTTATAAATTACAGTAAAAGTCCCTGTGTGGTGCATCACATATGACTATATTTTATATAAATAGTTTTGTTTCCTATTTTAATTATGTTTCTTATTTATAATATTATGATGGGTGTGAACTGTCATTTAAGGTAAAAAGCAGATTTTGGTACTTTGAGTAGCTTGGAATATTATCATTATATCACTGACTTAATGAAATATGCGGTCATAAGTTGTCAAATATTCAAGCACCATATGTCATCTGTCTCAACACTGACACTGCATTTTTTAAGGTGAATTTCTGGCAACCACACCTGACGTTTTTACTGTAAATTGAACAAAATATTTTTTGATTTTTGGACATAATATTTTTGAATATTTTAGATACTATATATATATTATTTTTTTTGTGTGCATATTTTAAAACTTATTTTTGTGAAATGTTCTGCTTAAAGTGATTGTGCCATGTTTCTTTAAAATAAATGTCACCTGGTTTGCTATTTTTAATAAATTTATGTAATGCAATTACATTCATATAGAACATTTTTAAGTGTCCAGTTTTTGGGCCCACGTCTGCCTTTCTTAAGAAACTGAGCGAATAAAGAATGTCCTTGTCTAGTTGATGCAATGCTGACATTTTATGGTAGGTAAATATAATTTTAGGACATTTAATATCAATGCTTAAAAAATGCCTAATAGACTGGCTGTTCCTTTTGGTCAGGATTTATCCCTAAAGTCCGGAGGAATGCAAAACCTTTCCCCCTTGCTATTTTTGCCAAAGGAAGTAACACACATCTGAACCAAACCAATGTTATTTCACCTAATAAGAAGGAATGTATTTCAGGTGGTGTGGTGCAAGCGACACTCTCCTTCAGATTTACATTACAAAGCAACAGCCCACTGTTCTTAGCTGGAGGTGATTTATGACTACTGCGATTTACCTTTGATGTCTCTGTGTACGATCATGTTGCTGTGCAAATAGTGGACTCCCTGTAGGATCTGTCGGGTGTATCTGCGGGTCACTTTTTCAGTCAGTGCTCCGTATGCCTTCAGCTGGTCTTTAATAGAGCCCTAGACACACATGGACACACAGATTAATCATACTGGACAGACAAGAGCAAAGAAGCCAGATACCATATTATGCATGTGTTTTATTCTCCAAAAGCAGAAAGAATTATAAAGGCTATGTATTTTTATTAGGAAACTTCAAGAACAAGCTGTCAGCATATGCGTTGACAGGAAACATAAAAACAGGATTCAAACCTGTTTACCAAAGAATACAGTGCAATGGAAAATGGTTTGACCCCTTCCTGATATCCAGTTTTTTTGTTGTTGCAAAGGTTTTACTGTATTATTATTGCTAATACTGTATGCAGGGATGTAAACATGTATTATGTAACAAGTGCAAAGTATTAAAATTAGCTGTTTAACTCATATTTGTTGCTTTTTAAGAAGTGTGCTATTACTATGGTGTTTTTACTCTTGTGTGTGTGATTACTTTGTTTACAACTAAATATAATATATGTGTACATATTTTATATTATAATATATAAAAATGCATTAAATGATATCAAATATGATTAAATAATAAATGTTAAATTGTTAACACAAAATATTTCTATTAAGGTTCAATTTATTAACATTTGCTAATTGCATCAGTTAGCATGAATTAACAATGAGAAATAATTAAAACGGTTATTAATTTTAATTAGTGTTAATTTCAACATTTACAAATACATTATTAAAATCAAACGTTGCATCTGTTAATATTATTTAATTGACTTAAGCTAAAAAAATAAACAACTTTATATTTTTATTTAAATTGTACATCAATAAACTATTTAACTATTCTAATAACTATTTTTATTAACTAACATTCACAAAGATTAAAAAATACCAAATGTATTCAAATAACACATTTATGGTTCATTCTTACCATTACCAATGTTCTATTACTTTTAATTATATTATAAAATATTTAATCATATTTAATCTAAAATATAAAATGTATAAAATTATATAAATACAACATTTAATAAAATATAAAAGTTAAATAATAAATAATATTAACAATAAAATAATTTAATAATGCTATCCTGTGTAAAATTACAAACCAATTTTTTTTTTACACTGTAGATGTGAGTGTTGACTTGGTTCATCAAGTACATTTAATTACACTAATACCATATATAATAATTATAAAATAATACATAACATTAAATAAGGAAATCTGGAAGCATGCATATTAGAGCTGTCAAACGATTAATTGCGATTAATCGCATACAAAATAAAAGTTTTTGTTTGCATAATATATATTATATACATATATGTATATATAAATACACACACATACAGTATATATTTTGAAAATATTTACATGTATTTACATGTCTATATTTATATTCATATAATTTATATTAGAAATATATTTAATATATAAACTTATACTACGGGGCCGTTGAATGCTTGAATCTGATTGGCTGACGAACGTTCTGAGGTGTGCAATTATTTTCAGGGAAACGCACGGCGAACGTAGTTCCAGGCAGCTCTCT